TAGTTATAGGGCATATTTCATTTAGCATATCTTATGCTCACATGCGTGCATCCATTCATCTGTATTGAATGCACCGGGCTCAGCGCATCATACTAACTGCATTGTATTTCAAGTCCTATTTGAATACATGTATCGAATTGTTGCATTTCACATGACATTCTGGGTAGCCGAGCCTATCTTAATTTGTTGCATTAGCCATCTTAACATGAACTAGGATCATGCATGATTTCTAACTAGTTCTTTGTTTTGGCTTGGAGTACACTGTGAGTGTTTACGCTTTAGCATACTGCATGTGTGTTAATGTTGCCATGATAGCATGCTTACCATGAGGCTAACTGCTTATTTGATTAACTTCCTGAATGCCTGTGGGTGAAGGTTGGATTGATTGAATTGGAACAATTCATTGAAATCCCTAATTTAGCCTACTTGCGAGTAGCAAACTTCAAACCATTTTCAAACAAATATGCGATGTTTTGTTCCAAATTAGGCGATCCAGCCTATACTTGTTTGCTGTGCGCATCACGTAGTAAAGATTAGCTAATTAACCGGAATAAGAGCACATGTGTTTTCAAAAACAAGATATCATGCTTAGTACAAGCCGATCTTTGATCGGGCGAACGGGGGTGCTCATTAAATGACCTTCTCCAATCGTACCCAAGTTCCCGAGCCGAGGCAACTTTGGTGATGACGGACACGTGGCCTTAGGCACGAGTCAGGGTTTCCTAAATTCCCCCAAAATAAAATATTTAGGTGGCGACTCTGTATCTGGCAAAGCAGTCCATGTTTGACACTTCTTTACAAAAATTAATTTTCCAAAACAATTTGCCAGATTTGGACTCTTTGGTGATTTGTCAATCTCACATCGCACATTGTGAGATCAGATTAAGAACCGTGACATTTGAGTCCGAACTGTAGCATTGAAGCCCAAGGGCGAGCCTACAAGCCCCGGAATTAGAGAATGAAGATGAAGAAAAATGAAGAGTGTTTGTGTGCTGTCTGGCAAAGAGATGAACATACCTCCACTTGGGATGCCCTCCCTTTATATAGATAGGGGGTGTGATATTTGTTTGGGCTGGGCCCATTGTAGGCCTTGTTTGGGTTAGCCTCAATAAGCTGATATATATTTTTTTTCTGGCTCCTACAAGTTGATATTTTAATTTAACTTTTATTTACCATAGAATTACTTATTACAAAATATTTATATTTAATTTCAATTTTATATACCTATATACAATAGGAGATTTTTTTTAAAGATCTCTGATATTAAGATTTTATAAGATAAATGGCATACAACGTTTTCATAGTAGTTAAGGTCTCTTAACATTTTCACAGAGAAAATTTGACTCAGAGAAAATTTTAATTTTCTCTGAGTCAAATTTTCTTCATGAAAATGTTAAGGGATCTTAGCTAAGAAAATAAAATATCTTAGACCTCTCCTACTATACAAAGTTAGAGAGAGATGTTTTACAAATTTTCGCTATACAATATGTACGAATAATTCAAAAAGAATATTAAAGAAAAAAATCAATACTCTACATAATTAATTTATGTATTTTTTTCTTAATCCAATCACAATATATTTATATTTAATCTTTTACATAAATCTTATGTAGTTCTATTTTTGCATATTTTTATTTTCCAAATAAATATAAAAAAAAATAAAAGTAAATAATTTGAATCACTTTTAATTTTATATTACTAATTCTCTTTCTAATTTAATTATTATTTTTAATATCAAAATGAGTGTTTATTTTACTATCTTATAATTTAATATATATCATATAGTACAATAAAACTAAAATTATCAAAATAAATAAATAATTTAGCTAAATTTATTATATATAAGTATACAAGTAACAATTTTATAAAATAATAAGGCTAAGATTATTAAAATAAATAATTCAAATTAAAAGTTTATTTTAAATTAAAATTAAAATTATTCTTTTGTAACATATATCATAAGATAAAGGCTGAATTACACTAACAGTATCTATAGTTTGGGACTTGTATCACTTTAGTCCCTGACCTTTCAATTATGATACATTTAATCCTGAATTTTGAATCTCGTTCCAAATAAGGACAATTGAAGACATTTTTGCTCCATTTCAAGGGCAAGTCATCAATTTGATAAAATATAAACTAGTTTAACAAAAATAAATGTCAAATAAAATTTATTTTTAAATTTTTAAAAATTATTTATGCCCACCAAAGATAAAATTATATAAAAATGATAAATCTTTTACCTTTTTATTTTTTTACCAAATTAATTTTTAATATGTGTTTGGATGGTGATCATGTAATGAGAGGTTGTTTTTGTTGATATTTATATATGGTTATCATGTAATAGATGGTTGTATTTGTTGTTAATAGATATTTTTGGATGGTTATATTGGAATGGATGGTTATTAAGCTTTTAATTTGTAATCGATATGTTTAATATATGAATGTTTTTAATTTTCAATTTTTTAATTTAATGGATTGGTTTAATAATGACATCAAAGTTGCCGTCATGTTTGGCTTTTGAAAAAATAGAAAATAATTTAATAAAAATAAATGTAAAAAAATTATTTACACCCTCCCAAAAGACAAATATAAAATTGATGTGTTTTTAATTTTTTTTCACCAATTTAATTTTTAGTTTCTTATAAAATCTTTTTTTGAAAATAGATTCTGAAACCCAAACCAAACGGATCTTTCTGGCCAAGAAAGTTCCAATATTATTTATTAAAAAAATGTCATTACATTTCAAACAACATACAAGTTAATCAACACAAAATAAGTTGTATGATAACTTTGCCCTTGAAATAGACCATTTGCAAAGGAAATTTTTTTTTTTAGATGGTAGCAAACGAAATATCTTTGATTGTCCTTATTTGGAAAAAAAAAATTCAAAATTCATGGTCAAATGTATTACAATTAAAAAGTTATGAATCAAAGTGATACAAATATCAAACTATAAGGACTGTTAGTGTAATTCGCTCTAATATAAAATATCATTACATTAATTAAACTCCATTGAGATTTTATGTCAGACATTATAATTCATAAAGTGATTTACATACAAGTGTAGCGTCCAATTTAATATTGATTGATTAAAATAATGAAACAAAATACTTTTTTTTATTAAGTTTTTAGAAGATAAATTGACAAATGTCAATTATTTTAAAGAATAATGATTCATAAAAAATGATTGTGAATATTTAAGATACCTATTGATGTTTCTTGAATAATTTCTAAATAAAAATTTTGAATTTATAGTATTAGTGATAATGCACATTTATGGACTTTGCCAGAAAAGATATGCAAAAATAATTTGGCTGGAATAAAAATTTGCGGTTATTATAATGTGTCACATAATTAATCAGAACCCTTTTGAGAACTGAAATTATTAAGGTTATAGAGATTTTGTATCTGATTCTCTTTGAGGACACTGTTTGTGATTTGAATTTGTAATTTTTTATGCATCAATGTGAATAATTCTTACGATTTTACTGACATAAGCATAAATTCTACCTTTGAGTCAGCCCACCTTAACCATTTTTGTGTGTAATAAGATACTTAAATATTGTCATATAAAAATATTATAATAAATTATAATCAAACGTTACTTGAAGCATAATTAAAGACCTAATGCACTACCCTAGACATAACCAAAAACATAAGAAATTAGCAAAGACTTTTCCGATTAATAACCAAAATAATACATCATGAGTTTTAATCAAGTCATAATTTGTATATTATAGAATTTTCCGTTGTTTTTATTTTTTTCAAAAAAAAAATATTTTGATACAAGTGGAATTCATGATTTTTGGTAAATTTGATTAACACAAATGAAGATTTGATTTCAAGTTGAAAATACACATTTTATATATATATATATAACTTTGAAATAAATTATTTTTCTGAGCCTTTTACATAAAATCACACATAATAATAAAAATTTTCTTCAGCCATTAACAAATCTAATTGTATTTAATTTTTACACATCAAAATATTAAGACTTAAAATCAATTTTCCATTTAAAAATAAATTTCCGTACATCACACGCGTCACCTACTAGTACATCAACATAAATTTTAATTTCACAAATTGCATCACCACACGGTTCAAACTTAACAAACATTAACATACAAAATTAAATTTTATCATATATACATACTTTAACAAATATTTTTTTTAACTTATTCATTGTGAATGCTTTAACAACATTATAGAAATGTTATTGGCAAAATTAAAATCCAAGTGTGACTTGAAATTGTGGCATCCTGAAAAATTATTTAGGTAGTTTTAGAGCATGGTGTTTTCAATCCAATGAAGAATGGAAAAATTACATTATATAAGTGTAAAAAGATAAAAAAATATATATGTATATATATGTTTTATTCATATGACTAACAATTTAGTGATGGAAAGTGCCAAATAATTTTTTTTATTTGGCACTTTCCATCACTAAATTGTTAGTCATATAAATAAAATATATATATATATATATATTTATCTTTTTACACTTATATATATATTATTGTATCTTTACACACTTTGTATTAATTTTAATCATTTTAATCTTAGTAAAAAGAAGGAAAAAATAATTTTACTACAACTATGGAATTCCTTAGACCATCTCCAATCATTCACTAAAATTTTTATTTATTTTGATTCCAAATTTGAGTAAAAAAACTTGATTTGATATGAGTTACTCCATTCCTTTTATCAAATTTTTATCAAAATCTTTTTAAAAAATTAGGGTAAATTACATTTACCTCCCCTGAGATTTCTGACAAATATAGGGGCCTCCCCTGTGGTTTGAATAATTACAGTAACCCCTCTTACTTTACCTGACAATGTCAAGATTTCCTCATTCTGTCTATTTTGCACAAATGACGTTAGTAGAAAGTGACCATGTTACCCTTGCTTTTGGTTGCGAAAAGACCAAAAAGCCCTTTGTTCACAAAATCCCTAATCAAGCTACATTCACAATGCAAATCGAATTCTTCAGAGAAAGAAGAGAGAGAGAGACGACAGTAAGAACGTGAAGCAAGGTTGATCTATGTGAAAAAGATGAAGAAGCTATTCAATTTTGGACGGATCATCGTTGCCAGTGCACAATGTAAACTAGTTTCATCGGTGAGAAGTTGCGGTTATGGTTTCCAGGAAAGATTTTGAACTCTGTAAGATTTGAATATGATTAATTTGAGTTGATGATTTTCGATTTTTTTTTCCATCTTTTTTCTTACAAATTTGTTTCTATTCTGTGTTTGATTTGATGAAATGTATGTGAAAAGGGTTTTCTTCGAAAATATATATTTAGGGTTTATATTTTGTTTGCAAAATTTTTGACTGGAAAAAAGGAATTTGGTGAATGTTACTATAATAATAGTGTAATGTAGGGATTTAATATAAATTTCTGATTTTTTGGATTTTATTCATGAGATGTATGTTTACATGTTTAGGGCTTTTTGGATTTTATTTATTCGAAGCTTACATGTTTAGGGCTTTTATTTGATTTGCAAAATTTCTGATTGGAAAAAAAGAAATTTGTTGAAAATTTATGAATTTCTGATTTTATGGGTGTTATTCATGAGATGTATGTTTAGGATGAATTTATGATTTTTTAGGTTTTACTTATGATTGTTTCATATTAGTATAATTATAGTGTAATTTAGGGTTTTCTTCATGTTTTCATATTTTCTTCAGTTAATTGTATTGGCTTGCTTATTTTATTAGGGCTTTTCTTCATTTTTTCTTCTTTCCTTCAGTTAATTGTTGAGTATAGTACATGTTAGGAATTAATTGGTATGTTATTATGATCACAGTATGGCTTCATTTCCTTATTTTGATTTAATCATCAAGAACAAAGGGAAAGTGGGAAGAGTGTATGATGTGGACCCAAATATGTATTGCTACATTGATGCCTTGAAGGTTGTAACTGCAACAATCCTCTCTCACATTTCTTGTAGTGAAGCAATAGCAATCGCATTGCATTGTGATATGCCTGGTACTAACACAAGGAGATTAATAGAAAATGATCTTGATGTGCTAGACATGTTTTATGTGCAAGGTAAGAGTAAAACAATTAACTTGTATGTAGACATAGCATATTCTATTAGAATGAGTGATGGTGGACATAAAAGTGATGTCGGAAATGAAAATGGTAGAGGTGGAAATCATGGAGTAGATGCTGTAGATGTAGAGCAAGACTACCATACTATAGATGTAGATGAAGAGTACCGTGAGGACAATGTTTATGGGTTTAGTGATGAGGATGGGGATTGGAATGCAACTGCTGAGCATGAAAACCAATCAGATGGCAATGAGATTTTGAGTGATGATGATAATAAGTGCTCAAGTGAAGATGATGATGCTGAACTTAGTGATTACCAATCTGGTGATGATGAAGTGGCATATTCTACTACTGATGATGATTAAGATGATGAAGCAGACTGTCTAGATGATGAAAAGATGAGGTTTCCAGGCATGAAGTATGATGGTACCTACAATGGGAAAGAGCCATATATGAATCATGATGGAGAAGTTGTATTGGAAGAAGGGATGATTTTTCCAGAAGTGAATACTTTCAGGGCTACATTGAGGGACTATACAGTGTAAACTGGTTTCAAGATAATAAGAGACAAAAATGAGAAGCCTAGAGTAATAGCCCATTGTGCTGTTGAGGGCTTCCCTTGGAGAATTCATGCATCTCCACTTCTAGATGGGACCACCTACAAGATTAAAACCTTAGTACCTACTCACACATGCAGCAGAATGAACACAAACACTAAAGCTATATTAGCTTGGATTGCTAAAAAAATGGTTAAATGTTTTAAGGACAATCCACACATGGGCTTAGATACTATGCAAGTGAAACTAAATAAAATGTTTGGGATTGAGGCTTCAAGAATGCAACTGTATAGAGCCAGAAGGAGGTGCAAGGAGGAGCTGAACAATGATGCTTTTATTTGGTTGCAGAAGGTTCCACTTAAAGGAAGGTCTAGGCATGCATTTGATGATAGGATTATGAGTGATTGCATCACAAATAGCATGACAGAGTCCTTCAATAATTGGTTAGGAAATTTGAGAACTCAGCCAATTTTAACTATGTTAGAGGGCATAAGGTACAAGTTGATGGGTAAGTTTCAAATGAGGTACCAAAAGGCAATGCAATGGAAATCTAATGTGACATTGAATGTGAAGAAACAGCTTGAGGTCACACTGAAATGGTCAAGAACTTGCATAGTTGAGTATGCAGGAGGCAATGAGTATGAGGTGAAGGATAATGAGGGGGTTAATCACATTCTCCATATTGGGGCTATGACTTGTGTATGTAGACAGTGGGAAATATCTGGTCTTCCATGCAAGCATGCTATGGCTGTAATTTCTCACAGTAGGTTAAACATGGAAGATTTTGTCCACCCTTACTATTCTAAGGCAACTTACTTGAGAGCCAATGGTGGAATGATACATCCCATCTTAGACCATAGCATGTGGACACTTATACCTAGGGACCCTATACAACCCCTACCTCTGAAAAGATTGCCAGGAAGGCCAAGGACTTCAAGAAAGAGGGCTGCTCATGAGCCACCAGCTGGAACAAGTAAGAGCAAAAGGTCTAGTACCTTGAGATGCAAATGGTGCATACAATTTGGACACAACAAGAGAACTTGCCAAAGACGTCCAGTCAGGGGTGGAGCATCTGGTGCTGGTAGGGGCAGTGGCACATCCAGTGGTAGAGGCAGTGTCAAAACTGCTGGTAGGGGCAGTGGCAGATCTGTGAGTAGGGGTAGATGCAATGGCAGATCTGTGAATAGGAGCAGAGGTAGAGGCAATTCAAGTGGGAGAGGTAGTTCCGCTGAGAGGGGAAATGCAAGTGGTAGAGGCAATTCAAGTGGGAAGGACAGTTCAGCTAGAAGGGAAAATACAACTACAAGAGGAAGTTCAACTGGGAAGGGGAGTTCAAGTGGGAGAGGCAAGGGCAAGGCCAAGCATGCACAAGTAAATTTTTTCTAGTTGTTTTGCCTTTTCATTTGTGATTTTTATTTGTTTTGTCTATCCATTTATGATATTGATATGTATACTTATTACCTTTGGTTTTCAATTTAAGATATTCCAAGAGAGACACCCCCAATGCCTACTCAGTGTGTGACACAGGTCACACAACATCATGTTAGTTATGAAGCTACAATGAAATTATTTTCTTATTTTTTTAGCTTGCATGAATCCAACAATGTATTTTTGTTTATTTGTTTGTTTGTTTGACTTTTTTTTTTTTTGCAAATTACTTAGCTAAGCTGTTGATATTTTGGGTACAAGGATTAACATAGGTTGAAGGTATAAAATATATGTTGGTTGACTGTATAGTTAGTGAGGATCATGTTCCACCTTTTTGTATTTTAATAGTGGACATGCAATGCTAAGAATAGAAATCCATGGAATGTGGCCGCTTTTGTTTTTTTTTTTGTTTTTTTGTTTTTTTGTTTTTTTTTTTTTGTAGTGGCCGTGAAGTATTTTATAAATACTCATTTTGGGAATGTAGGTGATGTAATTGCATAGACTTGACAAATATGGTCCATGGAATGATGTAACTGAACATATCTGATAGGAATGATGTAAGTAAACTAATTGGACATATTTGAGAACAATCATGATGTAATTAAACAGTCCTACTTGATGTTTAGATGATGTAATGGAATGGTCTTTATGTTTACAAGTTATTATGTTAGTCAAATTAGATGTGCATATTTACATAATGCTGAAATAACTTCATCATATTTATATATGGTCCATTACAAAACATACTGCATTACAAAACATAAGGTCTATTACAAAATATTACAAAACCTTACATAAGGTCCATTACAAAACATTAGGTAAATCATTACCATTACATTTTGAGAGCAACCATTATGGAAATCAAACATAAAACAACATTCATGATCATTATTATCTTCATAAACCCCATGTTTGCTTCAAGTACTTGCATCTTTGTTTGCATAGCCCCCATTTGATTTATTAAATTCATTGCATGACTTTCTTCTTCATAGGATGAAGTGTGCCTGTTAACAGTTGCTTGAGTGTCTTCTATCATCATTTCTCCTCCAACAGATGAGTTTACTGTTTTGCACCAGTCCTAGAATGCGCATTTCCCATTTGGGCATAAATAATACAATTTGCCTCTGTTTTTTTTCAGATTCAGTGACTTTAATTGTTGCTTTGCTCCCACAGTAGCAGAGCTTCACTACAAGAAATTAAGGTTTTAAAGACAAATTTTTAGAAACAAAAATAATTTGTCTTTAAAAATTATACTTTTAGAGACAAAATGAAAGAATTTTGAAAAAAAAATAAATTTAACCATATTATTATATTTTTAAAACGAAACTATTTGGTTGCAAAAGGTTAATGACTTTTTGTCAACAATTTTGATTTGTCCCTAATAAACACACCACATAATTATTTTATTTTATTTTCATTCTTTCAACTCAACAGTTGGGATTTCATTTCCTTCTCCACGCAACTGTCTCTCTCGCTTTCTATCTCCATCGAAGCCCTAATTTCATTGTTCTCGGTGGTTTGTTGATTTCAATCCCTGATCTCAGAGACTCCTCGACAGCGACTTCAATATCCAGGTTTGATCGATTAATCGATTCTTCATTTGAGCTAAAATATGTACGAAATTGATGATGTTTTTATGTCTTCGATTCATTCGTTTTTAGTTTATTTCTTGTAAATTTGCAGTTGTGAAGATGTGTTGTTTGTTTTGATTGACATAGATCTATTGTAAATTTCAGATTCCTCTTTGTTTTCATTTTGATATACAAATCTTTGAACTTGATTTTTTAAATTATTTTTTGTTTGTTTCGGCATGACATTGATTTCGAGAGATTGTGTTTCTTCAATTTGTTTGCTCAGAACTTGTATTGTTTGGTTTCAATTTATACTTGAATATGGTTTTTTGAACATCAGGTTCTATTATTGGAGTATTGAAAGAAAATGAAGGAAAATTTGACATGGTTCTGTGGATATTTTTTTTCTAATTATTTTAGAGAACAAATTATTTTAGTTCTAAGTAACATGGTTCTATTTTTAGATCAACTTTTACTCAAATTTAGGGAGGGGGGGGGGGGAATCCTAATTATTTCTGGTGAGGTGTTGGAGGATCCGGTGGTTTCGAATAAGTCGGGACTTCTCTTCGAGAAGCGATTGATTGAGAGACACATTTCTGTATGTTCGTTTTCCCTCTCTTCATGATAGGGTTTTGATGTGCTCTGCCTTTTTGCTCTATTTGTTTACTGAGAAAACTCGAAGAAAAACATAAAATTGAAAATTTTGGATTTTAAAGATTTTTATTTTGGCCTCTTTTTGGGTATTAATCAGAATTTGCATTGTAATTCTAAATTCCATGTTTAATGGAAATCTGCATTTTGGTTTTTAAAAAGGAATATGGAAAATGCCTTATCACTGGGGAGGCTCTGTCTATGGATGATATTGTCCCGATTAAAACCGACAAGGTATGTTGTATGCCGATTTGTATACATTTGTCTGCAATGTGTTGTTAGTATTATTTCAGTGTAAATTATGGTTTGTTGAAGCTTAATTATACAAGAATTATGCACAGATAGTGAAGCCATGACCAGTACAAGCCGCAAGCATTCCAAGGATGCTTGGGATGTTCCAAATAGTACGTGTTTCCAACCCTTAGCATGCCATTTCTATAGATTTTATTATTAGGTATAACTTCATGTTGTCATTTCCCTCCAAACATTGTGATCATACCTGACACTTAATGGTTACTATCAGCACATTTATATGAACTGGTAAATCTAATGGGTTACTATTAGCACATTTATATGAACTGGTTATAGTTTTGCTGTTTTGGCTTTGTGTTTACATTCATAAGAAGAAGTTTTCTTATGCTATTTATCAAAAAAAAAAAAAAAAGAAGTTTTCTTATGCTAGTAACTGATCTTCTATATTTTTTCATTTTAATGTAATAATAGGAATGGGATAGCCTGATGCCATCCAATTTTGTCGTGGAGCAACAACTACTTATAGCAAGGCAAGAGTTAAGTCATGCTTTATACCAGGTACTAAAGACGAGCTTTTTTTATTTTATTTTCTTTTTTGGGCAAGTACTTGATGATGAGCTTATATCCTCTTTAAAGTTTGGATCTTTTGTACAGATTGTGTAGAATATTTTATTTGATTTCAAAACAAAACATTATCATTGTTTTGCAGTTTGTTTAGTTAATATTGGAACATTCAAAAATACATATTTGACAATTAGAGATTGTGAAACACTTGCAAAACAAATTAATGGTTCAACAGCAATTTAAAATAATAATAATAATAATAATAATAATAATAATAATAATAATAATAATAATAATAATAAATGAAGAAGAATGAATAAAATTATAAAAAGAAACTGCTTACATGTAACATTTTTCTCTAACTATAAAGAACTCAAGGCTATATTGGTTGGGCTATCAATGTTGTATTTTGGTTGGTCATAATTGTCTGTGGAACCAATTTAGATATCCATGTTGGGCAATCCTACTCTTTTTTGGTTACCATGGATCATAATGCAAGTAGTGATTTGTGAATTAGTCTCTTTGGCAAAGTGTTACTGGTGTTGCTGTCTTGCACTATTCAAATTCAAAAGGAAAGGCAGCTAGTTCCCTCCCTGATCCACCGAATGATGTATATAACACATCATTTTTGCTAAACCAGGCAATGTCCATCAGGTTTGTTCCCATTCCCTTGTTTCTTTTGATATTTATTAACTTCTATGTCTTTTTAAATTGGGAATTTGTAATTGTCTTATTGAGTTATTTTGTTTGTGTTCCTTGCTTTTTTCATTAAAGAACATTTAGGATATATATTTTGTAACTATCTTATTTAGCTATGTCTTCTGCTTGCACACAATGGGAATTCACTTTTTGTTTTGAACAAGTTGAGTCACACAAGCACATAAAGAGATATTCTTAGCATTGATGGTGCTAAAGTTTGCTAAGTGTTGCTAGTGGGTTTAAAGAAGTTGTCTATGAAAGTTGGACATAAATCTCCATATTTCTAAACTTCAACTCAAGTTATCTTTCTATTTTTCCCGTTTCTTTCTCATGCATTGTAGGAAGACGTGTTTGTAGTCCAGGTAAAAGTAGTTAATTGGCAGAGGTTTACCAATTGAAACCCACTTCGTTTTAGACCGTCTCTCTTGGCATGCATGTGGGTGGGTGGTAGGGGGAAGGGGCCTAAGAAAAATGTCATCTGCTGGGAGGTGTAACCCCCCATAAAGCTCACACCAAACTGATAAAAAATTGTTTCTATTTTATTAGACAAGAAAATAGTTAGTTAGCATAAAGTATGAACAATCTTTAGTTCGAGTGTTATATGATTTACCTTGTGATACATATCGGATTATATTGATGTTTTGGCACAATTTTAGAATTATAAAATGCCATTGGAGTTAGTGTTTTGTGACATGGTAGTGCAGTATTGTATGAGGTTTTAGGTTCTACAATGTATTCAACCAATAATCTTTGGGGAAGAGGAGGCAAAATTTGATTATAACCTAAGAAGGTTGAAATTTGATCTGTTGCGTTACTGATCTTTGATTTCATTTCCTTTTTTTCTTTTCTTTTCTTTTTCTATTCTTTTGTACTGGAGAAGCATTTCATTCAATTTATAGATTGTAATTCCTTCTATCTCTTCCATGGGTGTTTATGTTGCTGGACCTTATGATTCTTGCTTTATTTGGACATCTTTCCAAGGATGTCTGTTGATGAACTCATTGAATTGTATTACAAATCACAACCATGGACTTCTGTTAGTAAGTAATGCATAAGTTTGTGAAATGTTTATACATTGTATACATATACATGTCTGAGTGTGTGTGCATCACATGTTCACAGGCAATGTTAACTCGTTTTTGACACCCTCTTTGTATTTTTGACTTTCAATGCTAAATTGTTCAATTCTAAAGTGGCCTTCTGTTTAACAGATAAATCAGTTGTACTGAAGTCAGTAAGTGATATAAAACTCATACATGCTGGCAAAGTTTTGGAGAATGGCAAGACGCTGGCAGAATCCAGAGTACATTTTGGTGACCTTCCTGGTGGAGTTAGTACTATGCATGTTGTGGTGCAGCCTCCCATCCCAAGAAAGAAGACAGGTTTGTTTTAGTTTCTTTTCCCTGAGATTTATATATATATATATATATATTTCATGTAGAATTTTAGATTTAATAAAATTTTCAGGGTTAATTCTATCAAGTTTTGACTTTGGAGCTTTTAGTATAGTAGCAAGAAATGCCTCTTTTATTTTGGGAATCCTATTTCTATCATTTACAAGTGCAGACTCAGGGCTATTGCACAGCTTATAGGCATAACATAACTATGAAGTTACTAGTAGTTTTTAGTGAAGGACCTTAGTGAGAACTAGTACATGGTTTCAGTTATTGGACAGCTTTACCCTGAGAATTACAATGAATTAATTTTCACTGTGATAAAAAGTTACCAGATAATATTTAATTCTTTAAGGATCTTCATTCTGGAACCCATACTTCAAAAATGATAAACATGCATGCATTACTCAATCTAATGACTTCAAATTTTGTGGTCAGGATGTGGCAAATTGAAATTTAACTGTGCATCTTGATATCAAGGGCTGTTTAGAAATGTAACTAATACATAGCTTAGCATCAATAAGGCTTTAACTCAAACACAACACATAGCTTCCCCTGAATGAAAAAATTTTGTTCTAAGATCTCAGTTCTATGCAGGTTCTGCAAGCTTGCATCGATTTGAAGGTTTGGGAGCTCTTTGCGAGATTTTGAATGACATTTTAACAAAGCCCTTGAGAAGAGGATATGATGAGTTGTTTTATTCTGTAGGTAGATGTAACTCTAATATATAATCTGTTCATTGAATAGTTGAATGCTACAAGAAATGCTTGTGGCACTGGCCTTATAATTTGGAAATGATGCTTTTGAAATCTTTATTCGTTTATGATATACAATCTAGATGTTACGTATTAATGAATTAGAGCATGGTATTTGTTTGTCATTGAAATATCTTTTGATTAAGCCTCTTTGAATGTGATGAGCATGTTTTTTTTTTTTTTTTGTTGAATTTTAATTTGGAGATGAACAAATGGTCTGGTGATATATTTGATATTTTCTGTTTGGTTGTTGAGAAATCAATAAAGGAATATCAGTTGATGTTCAAACTAGTATTTTTAGAGTAATTGTTACAAAATCAAAAATAAATAAATAAATAAATAAAAATTATTATACTTTTAGAGATCAATTTTAGTTGTTTCAAAAAAATTATAACCTTTAAACTGAAACTTTTAGCCACCACTTTTACTTGTTCCAAAAACTAAAACTTTTAGAGACCAATTTGTTTTGTCTCAAAAATTATTTTTTTGTCTCCATAAGTGCTTCTTTTGCCCTAGACTGTTATAAGACTTTTAGAGACAAATTTTGATTGTCTCAAAATTAAAACTTTTTGCAACAACATATTTTTGTCTCAAAAAGTCTATTTATAGTGACAAATGCAAAATTTTGTCTCTAAAAGTCAATTTGTTGACTTTTCCGGACGGACTATTTGGGACAAACTTCAGGACGGAGGAAATTGGTTGGCTAAAGTTTTTCCCAACAAATATTACACTTTTAGCGATGGAATAAATTTGTCCCTAAAAAGCTGATTTCTTGTAGTGCTTGCTTCTATATTTCATCACCCCTCCACCATCACTCGATGATGACATATCCATCCAATGAACCTACATTTATGAAATGGGAGAGTTATAATGCATTTTTAGAACATATATTGCATTTTGTTGTTATTGTGCTTTATTTCTTAATAATGGGACATACCTGTGTTGGATGTTTGATGTTTGTGCTTTATTTGTCAAGAATGGCTCATGTTGTTTGTGCTTTGTGCTTTGAAATTATTATTATTATTTTTTTGGACTGGTTAGTTGTTATTCACATGCAATTTTTTTTTAAAAATAATTAATGTGAGTGGGAACATACCTGTGTTGTGCTTGAACCTCTGTTATCTCCTTTTTGTTGTTCTTCAATTTTGGATGCCTCTATAATTTTCCCTCTTTCACTTGGATTTGCTGAAGCTGAAGAACTCACCATTTGGAATATATAGATGAGTTGAGGGCATTATGGGCATTTTCTTGTTTACATTTGATTACATCAGCAGGATTTGTTAGGTGTATAAACGGCTGTCAAATTTTGGAGGAATCTTGACATTGTTAGGTAAAGTAGGGGGAGTTACTGTAATTATTCAAGCCATAGGGGTGGTCCTTGTATTTGTCAGAAACCTTAGGGGAGGTAAATGTAATTTACCCAAAAAATTATTCTCTCATCCCAAATTTCACTTTTCATCAATTTTGGTGAAAAAAACCCATCTCCAGTACTTCATCTTTTAATAATTTCATCAAACTTAAGAAACTTAACAAAATAAAGGCTTGTTGGAAATCTGATGAAAAATTTGGTTCATCCTTAATTTGATGAAAAATGTACTTCTCCCTTGATTTGATACAAGTTTGATGAAAGGATTTGACCTCATTTTCACAAAAAATTTCATCAAATTTAAATTTGATGAAGGATTTAATGAAAGATTAGAGATGCTTTTATATATTTTTTTATAAGGGGGATTTGGTGATAGACCTCTTAAAGCATCTCCAACGTTGTATTTTTTTTTTCCCACCAAATTTGAGTAAAAACTCCATCTAATATCACACGCTCCAACGGGCTTTCATCATAACACTAGTTGACTGAGCGGATGACCAGGAGGATGTCCAGCCAGTCGACTGGACAGTGTAATTTTTTCACAAATTAAAAATTGTTTATTTTATTATAATACCCTCATATATATATATATATATATATGTGTGTGTGTGTGTGTGTCAAATTGCAATTATTCTCTCTTATTTCAATCTCTCTTCTCTCTGTCTCACTTTTATCACTGTTGTTCTCAATCGGTGCCATTACCGCTTTCCACTAGTGCCACTGCCACTCACCATGGAACTTTTTTTCTATCGTCTTCATTGCCACCGTCACTCGTCGCATCCGCAACCTCAAATCTAAAATCATTCACAATCGTCGTCACCGAAAAATGACGATTTGCGACAGTTCGCAAACCTTAGATTTGAGATCCTTCACTCTCTCCCTCTCTATGGTTTTGATGGTTCATGCTCTTTTTCTATGTGTGTGTATGTGTCACTCACCATTTATACTCTCTCTCTCTCTCTCTTCTTCTTCTTCTTCTTTTTCTTGTTCTTCTTATTCTCATGATACTCTGTCTCCTTATATCTCTTTCTTCTTCTCATGACACTCTGTTCTCCGAATAGTAAAATTTTACTTTGGTTCATGACAGAATACTCTCCTGTAAAGCCATAATCGCAACTTGTTTTAGAGTAAAATTTTATTTTGAATCATTGTAAATTTTACTCTGATTCAGAGTAAAATTTTACTTTGTTATAAATAAAAAAATAGTAAAATTTTACTTTGTAATAAATAAAAAAATAGTAAAATTTTATTCTGAATCAAAGTAAAATTCTATTTTGATGATTCAAAGTAAAATTTTACTGTCGTTAAGCAGATCTGCTTGTTGTTAACTAGAGTAAAATTTCACTGTCGTAGAAAACAAAGTACATACTAAATCAACGAACTAAAGTCAAATTTTACTTTTAAATTATGAACAAACATATAAAATACTCTTGATTTTTCATTGCAATATCAAATTTCTCATTTTTCTACCAAATTTAAGTTCTTTTATCTCAGATCTGAAGTTATTGATCTCAAATATAAGTTTGTAGGTATCAAATTTGAGATGCTGGTTGTTTGATGGTAAAAATGGTAGTTGTCGGCCGACGATGAGGATGAGCGATGCTAGTAGACTATGAAGATGGTGGTGGCGATAAACAACCATTTGTGAAAATAGAGAGAGTGATGTAAAAAACATAGAAGAAAGAGAGGGTATAATGGTCAAATAAAATATTCAAATAACAAATTTTGCCTTCCATATAAGACTTTATAATTATGAAAGGGCTTTGAAAGTACTAATTTTATTTTATTTTATTTATTTATTTTAACAAAAAAAAGAAGCTAAGAGAGATTTATGGTCAAATTTTCCTAAATTCGAAGTAAGGTGAGTGCAATTTATTCAATGAAAAATTATAAAATATGTTAAATGAGTTATGTTTTGTCCATCAAACATAACTAATAAAGATAATAAAAAGTTTAGAAACTCCACATATTCATGTTAAAAATTTTACTGAACATTCACCCTTATAATCCAACCTACGGGTTTGATAGAATTTTTAGTATTTGAAGATAATCAACGACGTTGTCAAAAAAATTTCGGTAGGTGGGCAGTGAGCACCACATGAAAAATGGGGAGTAGCGTCGCAGCACATAAAGAGCTGCAGATAATACTGAGTACGGGGCCTTTTCACAAATTAAGTCAAATTAGTAACTTAATTCTCAAATCAGATCTAGTTTGGACAGAATTCACAAATTAGGCTAAAACGTGGTTGTAAACCACGCTTTCAACGTTTTTGTACCTATCGTGCAGAAATTTTGTGAAATCATAAAAGCGTGTTTCCAAACCACGCTTTTAATTAAGAAAGCACGGTTACAAATCACGCTTTTCATTAAATTTTTTTTTTTTTGAAAGCGTGGTTGTAAACCACGTTTTTAACTGAAAATTTTTTTTCTTCTAAAAACGTGATTGTGAACCACGTTTTAGCCAAAATATAAAAACGTGATTTGAAAACACGTTTTCAACACAAATTGAAACCAGTTAGAGGCTTCAGTCACACACACTCACACTCACACTCACACTCACACTCATACACTCACTCTCTCTCTATCTCTCTCTCTCTCACACACACACACCCACCACTCACACACTCACATATATAATTTTTAATATATATAAATTTTATTTTATAAAATTGAGGCTAATAGTAAATATATATAACAATAATTTATAATAGCAACTAATAATCAACTATATAATTTTTATAATTTTTGTAAATATAAATCATTTTTATATAATTTTAGAAATAATCTTTTACAAATTAAATTGAAACGACCATACATACGTATGTATATAACCTGTGCAAAAGTTAGAATGATATTTATTTTTTACCCTTAAATGATAATTATTTTTTATTTTTTATTTCTTAACCAAATTAATTTTTAATTTTTTATAAAAAAATTCTATAAATCAAACAATACATAGCCTAAAAATATTTTGATAAAACATTTTTTACATTGATAACTTATTTAATTATTTGTTAATTTTACGACATTTTTATCATCTGAGACATGTTTAGTAACCATTTCATTTTCAGTTTTCAATTTATATTTACAAAAATTTAAAAAACTATCATGAAAACTTGTTTGATAATTTTTTTAGTTTATAAATGGTTGTTTCAACTTGTAAATTTGAGGAAAAAAAGTAAATTCAAAAAATGAGTTTTTTTGAAAAAAAAATTTATTTACAAACCAACGTAAACTCATTTTTTGAATTTATTTGGAAAAAAATTAATTGAAAAAAAATTTTGTTAGTAAAATTTTTAAAATTTTGTTTAAAAACCAATGTAAACTCATTTTTTGAATTTACATTTTTTTCCTCAAATTTATAAATTGAGACAACCATTTATAAACTAAAAAAATTATCAAACAAGTTTTTATGACCGTTTTTAAATTTTTTGTAAATATAAACTAAAAACTAAAAACGAAATAATTCCCAAACAGATCTGAATTATTTACTTTCGCGGCTAAAATGCAATAATACAAGAAATTATATTTTTCGCAACGCAACAAAATATGTTGCTAAAAGGAAAAAATCGTCGTTAAAATGTTTCGCCGACACACAAAGCTACGTCGGCAACCCGTGAGTAAAAGTGAGTCGGCAAAACTTTTTGACGACAAAATTATTATTGTGTTGGTAAAAGTAAAGTCTTTAGCGACAAACATAGTCATCGGTAAAAGCCTTCATCTATCGTCCGCAATTTACC